TTTAAGTAATGCGTGTATATCTTTTCTTGCAATATTACTACTTATAAACATGTTTTTTGTATAAATTTTGAGCTTGCTTTCGTTTTTTAAGAGGATAAAATAATATTTACTAGAGTATTGCTAAATCATTTTTTAACTAGAAAATCAATTTAAATTAAATAGTACTTTTAAAATAACGTCAATCGAAAATGACATTTTAAATAAAACAATATTTCTGAAATATCATTTTAAAAAATAAAGCCACTCAGAAAACGAGTTTTAAATGTAAAATCATTCTAACATATTTTGAAAATAAAAAATCCTTGATAAATAATTATTAAAGCAATTCTCATGTGATATTACTACTTATAAACATGTTTTTAGTATAAATTTTGAGTTTGCTTTCGTTTTTTAAGACGATAAAATAATATTTACTAAAGTAATACTAAATTATTTATAAACTAGAAATCCATTTAAATTAAGTAGTACTTTAAAAATAAAATCATTCGAAAAGGACATTTTAAATATAGCAATATTTCTGAAATATTTTAAAAAATAAAGCCACTCAAAAAACCAGTTTTAAAAATAAAATCATTCCAAAATATTTTGAAATTAAAATCATTCTAAAATATTTTTAAAATAAAAAAAAAAAATTTTAACTCAGTGGCCCGACAGCTCATAGAGAGCCAAGGCCTACTGTGCCCATCTCATTTTTCTTGACCTTGGGCTCCGGTGTGCTGGAGCAGATATTCCGGTCAGGTGGCCAGCCGAAAGTGGAGCCCCAGTGTTTAGTTCCCAAGCATGATTGGTACTCATTTATCTACCCACTGAAAGGATGAAAGGCTGAGTCAGCCTTGCCCAGCCCGAGGATCGAACCCAGAACCTGCGCAACGGGAACGCGAAGCACTCAACCCAGCCACCGGGCGTCATATATGTACAGTAAGACAAAAAAGGGACCATCCTGAATAACTTTTGATCTAAAGATCGAATCATCACGTTCTAGGATTCAATCTTAGTGGTTTGAGGTAACCTCGAATATGCTAATTAATTAGTGAATACGATGTTTCAGGTTACGAAATCAGACACAAAAACGTACTTTTTCTGAATAAGCATAACTCTTTTTCTCAACGGACAAACATACCTTGCTCCCACCCAAATATAGGGGTAGCCACAATCTAAGAAATATGGTCTCCATAGTTTGGTGGGGAGAGCGGTCCAAAGTTTGGTCCCCTTAATGTTTATTTTACTTTTTGCATATTTCACCATATCTCAAGAAACTTTACAACAAATTGGAAAAGTTTTGCACACAATTATAAAATTTGCTCACCCAAAGATAATTAATTACACCAAAAAATAAATTTCAGTAAATATTTGTGATTTTTTATGATTTTATTAAATAACAGCTGAAAAATTTAAAATTTTAAGGTATACAATTTCTTAAATCATTTCAAAGTATCTAATTTTACTTGGCAAAATACAAAAACTGAGAGAAATCTATTGAATAGTTTTTGAGGAACCGAATTTTAAATATACGTCTTCTTTAATAATTGATAATAACAATATATTCAGTTACATATTTGCACTAATTCTTTCAAGCAATTATTATTTTGTCAATTTTACATAATTTTCAGTACGATAACTACAGTTCTGTACTTAAAAACGTATTTACTTTACCTCGCACCAAAATTAGTGTCAACTATAGGCTAACATTTTTTACAGTGCAGTATATACAATATTTCAAATACTATTTAATGGTGGTGAAAAAGGCATTAAGTTATCAACGTTTGTATTTTCATCTCCATTTTCCAAAATTTTTAATATGTGTGAACACTGTTAACAACATTATTAAAATGGACTAATCCTGTTAAAATGGGCAAAATCAATATAATTTTAATAACGCATGTGAAGTACTTTGTATTTATTTCAAATATTTGATCATCTCTTCTTCACAAAATGAAAAATATGCAATAATTTATTTTTCTTTACTTCATCATTAAGTGCTCAAAATTTTGAAATGATAGAAAAACAGAGCGCTAAACATCAATCTATTATTTATATAAAAAAAAAAACATTAATCGCATTTTATTCCCTTTCTTTTTCTAGGAAAATATTTCGACATATTATTTTCGTTTAAAAATTTCCAAGAAAACTATTTCTTATTTATTATATTTAGAAAATACTTATTCCTAGTTTGAGTAAATGTAATATTTAACTAGCATCAATAGATATATTGCATGATCATACAATTTTAAAAATTTTGAATCAAACAATTTTTATGAACTTTATCAATCTGTGTTATTTTCCTCATACGGAAATATTTACAAATAATGATTAAAATCCTGAAAACAATCTTAATCTCTTTATAATGGTATCCTAGCTATTTTCTTTTATTCAATCACTTAAGTTTTTAAAATTAATAAGAACTTTTGTAAAAGCTTACTTTTATCGTAACTACATAGCAAAGTTGGATTTAAATTTATTGTGAAAACTATAATAGTTATTGCTTTGGTTGCCAAGGGAAGTTTCTTATGATTTTTTTTCAGACAACTACCAAAATTTCGTGGAATATTTAAGATAACAAAACATAACATAAATAAAAAACAAGCCCTTTTCTTAAAACATTACAAATTACAGAAGAGATTTTAATTTGTTTGTTGAAATCTAGGTAATTTGCAGTTTATTAATGTTTAATGAAATTGAATAATATAATTTTATATTATGCGTTTATTTTTTGACAAGGGAAACAAGTATATAAGGTTCCCACCTTTAATATATATTTTTAAAATCAGGATCAGAGTACCCTTGCCGTAAGGCTAACTTTAGAAGATTTTTGTGGTTTTTTCTCCATATTACGCAAATGCTGGTTAGTTCCACCAAAAAGTCCTCCACGAAGGCAAATTTCTCAAAATACTTGATCCAGGAGTTCCCTTGTCTTCTGGATTGGGTTCGAAATTATAAGGCTACGGAGTTGAACATTAGTACTCGTAAACCCAAAAATTAGGTCGGCTCTTCAACTACGGTTATAAAATAAATTAAAAAGGTATGATTCTTCAGAGAAAGTGTGTTTTTGTGTCTGATTTCGTAATTTAAAATATTGTCTGCACTAAGTAATTAGCATTAAAATAAGTCCTTGAAACATTAATATCAATATTCAAAGTTATACTCAAGCAATATTACTTCAAGCTAATAAGCTGTCTTGTAAGCACCATAATTTACGGCATTGTATTTAATTACATTTTTTGTTGTATTTAAGTGAAATTATTTTATTCTATTCTTGCCGACAAATATATTTTTATTTTTCGGCAAAAAACACATTTTCATGTCAATTTGTATAATGGAAACATTTATGTTGACGTAATTCAAGATAAAAAATTACAAGGAATAATATATAAGATTTAGATCATATAAATATATAGAATAATAGAGAATATGTAGAATAATAGTAAAGATAATCGAAGGAATATGGTATATGGTGCAAAGTATGAGTTTAGAAGATGTTCCCATTTCAAAATTTTAAACTGCGTGCTTTTTTATATTTAAATATTTATGAAATGACAATGAATTCGAATTGCCGCGGTAAGTGCATGTGCATGTACCACTTCATGATATGTTCACGGTTTGAATTATTTCTTTTATTTATTAAAATTTATAATTTTAATATTAAAATTTAATTTTTTGAACTGTCATTTTCTTCAAATTAGAAAATTATTTGAAAGGATCAATATACCTCAAATTGGGTTGTTTTACATGATATTGTGAAAAGAAATCAACATAAGATCAACTCTAACTTACAATTATTACTAGTTTTATCAACTTTCTCAAATTTTTTTAGTTAGGTACATATATTTATGTATAAATTTTCTTTATCCAATTATTAATTCATTTATTTTGTAAGGTCATGAAAATATTAAACTTATAGCGTCGAGGTCACGAACTGAAAAAAAAAAGTCATTGCATTAATTCCTCATATCCATGACTCTTAAAATTAGCATAGCATTTTATTTTTTGAAATATATACAAGAAAACTAAGATTTTTTTTCAATAAATTCTAAAGGCACGTTGCACTTTCAGTAAGAAAAGTTTGACCTTAAAAATTCAATTGCGTAATTTTGAGATTTAAGTCTATTTCAAAAATATGCACTCATACCCTCGGCGGGACTCGAACCCGCAATCCCCGGTTTAGGAGACCGATGCCTTATCCATTAGGCCACGAGGGCTCAAACGGAGGAGAATTGTTGTAGTAATAGTTCTGAATCTTCATACCTATGTTATTTAAAACTGACTTTTAAAAGTTTTGTATGAATAAAGTATGATATTTTTTCACAAACTTCCAAAAGCACTTTTCACGTTTAGTATATAATAGTGAGAAATTATCCATTCACTAATTTTTACTTTTTTTGTATAGCGCACCACCAATATATATGCTGAATAATGAAGATTACCATGAACTCAATCATTCCAGATTAGCATGAACTCAATCATTTCAGATTAGCATGAACTCAATCTTTCCAGATTAGCATGAACTCAATCATTCCAGATTAGTATGAACTCAATCATTCCAGATTAGCATGAACTCAATCATTCCAGATTAGCATGAACTCAATCATTCCAGATTACCACGAACTCAATTATTCCAGATCAGCATGAACTCACTTAATTTTAGCTTTCCCTAAGTTTTCGAAAAAGCATGGAAAAAAGTATTCAATTTCAAATGACATAAATAGCGTTATTTTCACAACATAAATTACTAAAACTAGATAACTTTTACTTCCCTTGTTTTAAAAATTTGAAGTTGCAAATTAATTTTTAGTCGTATTCTAAGTTCTAATACCTGCCACTTAGTAGCGTATACAGATATTTGTATAACATTTGTTATTATTTGTAGAGTAGTCTAGTTATAGTCCTCTACAGTTATTACTTGATAGTCTTGTCATAGAAAACGTATATTTAACTCGAAAAATTAAACAATAACCTATCTAGTTTCAGTGCTATCAGGGCTGCTGTGCTATGCTCTCTATATACTATCCAGATAAGCACAAACTCAACTCCAATATGAAAGTTTTTATACCCTTCCTAAGAGTTCTCTCAATTTTTTCGAAAGCACATTCAAAAATCAAAACTACAAGGGACAGAAAAAGCCCCATTCCCAATACCACAAGTGCATCTGAGACCTTCCACAATGTCAATTTCATACTTGAATTTTCCTGTTGATTAACTGAAGAGTTTGAGTTTATAGTTTGAAGCTGCGATCTGATAAACAAATCTTTTGAGATTTTTTGATAAATTCCAGCAGCAGCTAAGCGTTCGAGAAAATAATTAAGCTCTTCCTTACAGCAGAACTCTTTGTTAGCATATATTGTAACATACATATGCCCGAAAGCTTCCCTAGAAAATAAAAGTTCATTCCCCATTTGAAGTTTAATGGTAAAATCTGGAGTGGCATATGCGCTACCCTCTTCAATTACACTTTTTCTTGTGGCTTCATTTGAAGAATCAATTTCTTGGATTACTTCGCCAATAAATCGAACGTTTTCAATTGGACTTTTCCTCAAAAAATTTAGAACAAAAGAACCTCTAGGCGCTGTGACTTCTATTAAACCATTCTGAACTGCTTTAGTTANATTCCCCATTTGAAGTTTAATGGTAAAATCTGGAGTGACATATGCGCTACCATCTTCAATTACACTTTTCTTTGTGGCTTCATTTGAAGAATCAATTTCGTGGATTACTTCGCCAATAAATCGAACGCTTTCTATTGGACTTTTCCTTAAAAAAGTTAAAACCAAAGAACCTCTTGGTGCTGTGACTTCTATTAAACCATTCTGAACTGCTTTAGTTAGCTGTAAAATCGTAAGCAAGCCGAATTCATGAGCTGGCAATGTTAATACAGCTAAAATATGAGAGCTGTAACTGTGTGATAACAAAAAAACACCAATTAGAAACGATAATTGCAGCATTTTATCACTGAAGGAATTGGCTTTTTGATAATTAGGAGCTTGATGAAGCACAAGTTTTACGGCATTGAAAACATGTTCTTGAAAAGAATATCGACGCTGCATAAAAAGCTGGAATAATAGAGGCATCAGAATAAATGTGCACATTAATATTAACCATAGATGCAATTGAAACGGATAGATGTAAGACAGCTTGGTCTCAACAGATTTAGTTGGCAATCTTGTCACAAATTTGATGCTTTGGAGGTCGTAAGGAAAAGCTGGCCATGCCACTTCGGCCCTATCGTATGTGATACTCATGCGTCCCATCGCCAAATCGGCTTCATTTCGATGCAGCATGCCAATTGCACCTGAGAAACTGCCATTACTTAGCTTTGCACCCCATTCTTTGTCGTTTGGGATTAAAATTTCTAAATGATAATTTAATGCATTTGATAAAAGGGTCAAAATTTCTTTTTCAAATCCATTTACATCTTTAAGAGTGGTGTTATCTTTCTCAGGTACTTCAAAAATATTAAATCTTGGTACAATAGCAAACCTTACATTCCTTCGCGTTGCCATCATAAACAATTGTTTCACATCAAATTAATATTTTTCAAGAGATGAAGCATTCCATTATATTTTACTTGAGATGAAATCAAATCGACATTGTCGTTCGACATTCACTTATCGAAATTGAAACTTTGTAACTCTCTTTTTAAAACTTAACTGATTCTAGAACACAGTTTTAAACTTTGTAACTCTCTTTTCAGATGTAAAACTCTATCTCTACTGAAAATTTTGCCTGAACATTAAACACTTTAAATTTATTTCGCTCTTTCATAAATAAAGTTTATTTAAATGATGCAGTTGCCCAATTAGTGGTCTGGGCTTTAGTTATTGACTAAATCTGATGCAAATAATAATAAATGGCGCTCGTCATGCGATAGTCTACCACATGGTATGTTCACATAGCAACAGGCACTTCGTTTACTTTTACACTGCCATTAAAATAAATAAACAATTTAAATACTTGCAACCAATTAATTTTGTTCATGAATAATGTAAATAATCCCAATACTTAGATTTTTAATTCCATTTATAACTTAAAGAGTTTAGAATTTATTACGTTAATTACTAATACAGGGTCTAAAGTTATACATTTAAACAAAAATCAGATCTTTGGAAAAATAGATTATGATTTAAAGTTCAAAACTAAATCTGATAGTAATATTCATTATGTAAATAACATGAATGATTATGAATGCTTTAAATCTATCATTGCTTCCAATGAGGTTTTAAATTGTAGAGAAAAAGAGTTAACTGCGGATGGTTTTCAACTAGACCATCTGGATAAAGATAAAAAAAACGATAATGTTAAATTTACTTTTCCATGGGTCATACTGATTTAGTTACACTTGATATAAAATATTCTAACCCTATTCAAACCCTTCTTTTTTCCGGTATTCCAGACCTTAAGTTAAGAAGTAAAATATCAATTAAAAGAATTAACTGAAGCTAGATTCATAAGTAGAAATGTCTCTAATCAAGCTTGTCCAATGGTGCTGGTTCGTAAAAATCTAATAACACGAAAAAATCTACTTTTTCAATGGTCCTCGATTTATGAATATCAAACTCTATGATAGAATGTTTTACGTATCCCCACCCTAAGATTTCCACTTTAATTAATGATGTTTGCTCATTTAAGTATAATGGATTTCAATAATGCTTATTGACAGATCAACCTCTCTAATGGAATAAAAGAAGTTTAAACCTTTACCACACCTTTTAGATCTTTTGCTAATCATAGAATGGTCTTCAGATTGAAGACTGTTGCATCTGCTTTTCAAGCTCTAGTAGATAAATTAATTGATGAGCTTAATGCACCTAGTATTCATGTTATCTTTGCCTACCAATGTGATTTTTTACTTGATGCTAATAGCTTTAACGATATGATTGAAAAAAATTTCAGCAATATTAAAGTTATTGGCCGGAAAATGCACCTTTTTCAAAGACTAAATCAGATATCTCGGATTTCATATAACTCGTTATCTGATCAAACCTATTGAATTCAATAATGCCAAAATCACTAAATTTGCTCCCCCTGAAAATTTTGTACAGTTACTAAGATTTTTAGCCACCTGTGACTTTTATCGAAACCTTATCCTAATTATGTCAATTTAACTCATTGTTTAACTCAATTGACAGCAAAAATTGCTCCTTTCAAATAGTCTGAGCAACACCAGCTGGCTGATAAATTACAAAAGATTTTCTTTTCCTAACCATTTGCAGCACTTCCTGATTTTATTTTTTTTTATAACCGTCGTTGAACAGCCGTTTAAATTTTTGGGCTTACGACTACTAATATTCAACTCCGAAGCCTTGTAATTTTGAACCCAATCCAGAAGACAAGGAAACTCCTGGATCAAGTATTGGGAGAAATTTGCCTTTGTGGAGGTCTTTTTCATGGAACTAACCCGTATTTGCGCTACATGGAGAGGATGACCACGAAAAGCTCCCACGGTTATCCTGATGACAAAGGGACTCTAACCCATGATCCGTCTACCACTGAGGATATTTCACGTCAGCACTGCAGTTGGGGCAAGCCGGATGCGGATTCCTATCAACCAGCCATCGATGGGATTAGAACCCGGTTCATCTCATTGGAAATTGAACGCTCTATCCCTCGAACCATTGCAACTCAGCACTTCCTGAATAGAATAAAACCTTTGTTTTAAGCACCGATGCAAGTAAAGTTGTGGTTTCAGCCGTATTGATGCAGGAACATGCTGGTGTTCTTATGCCGATTTCTTATTATAGTAAATCTTTTTCTAAAACTGAAAGAATTATCCAAGCATAAAGCTTGAGCTTTCGACTATTTATGAAGGTATAACTGCATTTAAACTTATCTTAATAGAAAATTCATTTTGCTCACTAATAGCAAACCTCTTTTAAAATATCGAAAATCTACATCACTTTCCGATATAATCACTCGATGGCTCCTAGAAATTAGTGATTACTCATTTGAGTTCAGATACATGCCTGGAAAAGGGAATTTATTGGCGGACTTATTTTCTAGCTCCCCAGATCCTGTTACTAGACAACCTATTTTACGAACTAAAAATGAAGATCAATTAGAAAATGAGTGTAATGATTTAATATGGAGCCATGGTGGCTCAGGAGATAGAGCACTCACCTCCCAATGAGGTGAATCGGGTTCAGATCCCAGCGATGGCTGGTCGATACGAATCCCGCACACGGCTTGCACCGACCAGAGTGCTGACGTAAAAATATCCTTAGTGGTAGACAACTCATGGATTCGAATTCCCTTGCCGTCAGACTAACCGTGTGATGTTTTCGTGGTTTTCCTCTCCACGTAACGCAAATGCGGGTTACTTCCATTAAAAAATCCTCCATGAAGGAAAATTTCTCCCAATACATGATCCAGGAGTTCCCTTGTATTCAAAATTACAAGGCTACTGAATTGAACAATAGTAGTCGTGAACCCAAACATTGGGTAGGCTGTTCAACACCGATTATAAAATAAAATGATTTAATTTTACTTTTTGTCAAAATTAATGAAAAAATAATAATTCTTAGTCGGTTTCGGAAACAGGTAATGTCACTAATCATCTTCTGAATACTCTTTTTGATGAGTTTGCTGACACTCCTAGTTGTAGTTGTAGTTCATTTACGTCGCACTAGAGCTGCACAATGGGCTATCGTCTTCGGATCATCCATGAGGATGATCCGAAGACATGCCTTCACAATTTTGATCCTCTGCAAAGGGGATGGCACTCCCGCTTCGATAGCCCGACGACCTGCCCGAGAAGTCGAGCACTTTGCGGTAAAACAATTCAACGAGGACCAATACCGTACACCCTCGGTCCCCTACGCAGAATGATCCAAGTGGTCACCCACCCGCGCACTGACCGCTCCTAGTGATGCTTGACTTCGGTGATCTGCTGGGAACCGTGCCTTAACGATCAGTCCACTGCGGAACGGCAATCCTAGTTCTTATTGCGATGCGATGCATATTAGTAATTACTCAAATGCAAATTTAAATTATCTAAAAATGAAACTCTCTTAGAGACTGTAAAATTTGAACAACTCAAAGATGTCGCCATATTTGAAAAAATCTCATCTCTGAATGAAATTTTTCGGAATGGATTACATAACCTCTTTTTATCATCTGAATCTCACTTGCGTTACTTGTGCGAACCTTGTTGACAGTATTATTAAAGATGGACGAAATCTCTTCACCCTTTATCAGTGCAGCCCCAATTCAGTTCAGGCAAGTGCAGTATTTGTGCAGTATTTGTGATGCCCGATCTGACTTCGGGCAGGAGCAAAATTAACATTTCTATTTTGCAAAGCCCGAGCTGGTTCGTTTCCACTTTAGGATACTTAATTCACTATTTTCCAAATAGATGACCTAGTTTTTCACCGATTAGGACTTCAGTTGAGGCAAGGAAAATGTGGGTGATGCAAAAAGTGTGATATGGGTTTGTGTGCAGTACCGTGTTTTGGGATGTTCCATACTGCAAAATATTTGTAAGTCACTTTAGGACATTCACTTTAGGATACTTAATTCACTATTTTCATTAATAGATGGCCTAGTTTTTTACCGATTAAGACTTCAGTCAAGACAAGGAAAATGTGGGTGATGCAAAGAGTGCGATATGGGTTTGTGTGCAGTACCGTGTTTTGGGATGTACCATACTGTAAAATATTTGTAATTCACTTTAGGATATTCACTTTAGGATACTTAATTCACTATTTTCCTAATAGATGACCTAGTTTTTCACCGATTAAGACTTCAGTCGAGGCAAGGAAAATGTGGGTGATGCAAGGAGTGCGATATGGGTTTGTGTGCAGTACCGTGTTTTGGGATATACCATACTGTAAAATATTTGTAAAATTTATGCATTGAAAACCATATTGTTGTGTTTTTATATTATATTATACTAATTATGTTATATTTAGCTTCAAAAATTTTGTTCAATTCGCTCTAATTGAATAATATGTGTGTGTAATCCATTGCTTTTTTATATGCATGTAAAAATTGTAAATGCAGTAGTTATTGCATTTAAAATTTTATTTTTGTAATAGAAAACCATTTTTCATCTTTTATAATATAAAGAACAAAATTAAAAAGTAAAAAAGAATTCTATTTTCGGTCAATTTTTCTGAAATGTATGTCGCTGTTAAAGGGTTAAAATCGAGAGAATTTTCGTAACACATATGAAGTACCTTTTATTTATCTATCTTCTAAAATTATAACTTCTCTTCTTCACTAATAAAAAAATATACAATAATTAACTTTTTAAAAAATATCAGAAATTTTTTTTTCCTTTACTTCATCACTGAATGCGAGAAATTTTTATTCGATAGAAAAATAGGGTATTAAATATCAATTAGGGTATTTAAATATCAATTTATTATTAATCTAAAATACATTAATCTTACTTTATTTCCTGTGCATTTCTAAAAAAAGTAGTCAGACATATTATATTCATTTAAAAAGTTCCTTGAAAACACTATATATATATTTCTTATTTATTATATTCAGAAAAATTTAT